AGAGACAGCGTGAACAGGGGAGGGTCAGAGAGAGAGGGAGTCACAGACTCTGAAATAGGCTCTAGGCTCTGAATATTTTATTTTATTTTTTAATATTTCTATTTATTTCTAGGAGAGAGAGAGAGAGAGAGAGACAGCGTGAGCCTGGGAGGGTCAGAGAGAGGGAGATACAGACTCTGAAACAGGCTCCAGGCTCTGAGCTGGCAGTCAGCACAGAGCCCGACACGGGGCTCGAACCCACGAACCGTGAGATCATGACCTAAGCGAAAGTCGGACGCTTAACCGACTAAGCCACCCAGGCGCCCCTAGAATCATTATTTTATAATTGAATAGGTCATGAACTGCTCTTTGATAAGCCCTACTCCAGTGAATTTGTCGAGTAATATGAACTTGCCAAGTTTATCTCCAAAATGCTTCTACTAAATTATACTCCCACCAGTAGTACATAAAATATCTTGTTTTTCTACATCCTTATCAATTCTTGCCTTTGACAGACTTTCTGGTTTGCCAATCTGTTGGTTATGAAACTTTGTTTTATTCTATGTCGCCTGTACTTCTAGTGAGGTTGAGCATTTTCTAATATCTGTGTTTTGTGAATTGCTCTGGACTATTTTTCTGTTTGATTGTCTATTCTTAGTGATTTATCAGCATTTTACTACTATGTAATGGATTCCAATTCTCAGCTAGTTTGTATTGCAGAAATCTAGTCTGTAGCTTGTCTTTTCACCTTACTTCTGATATCTTTCATGGGACATAATATTCTCTGAAATTCTTCTGAAAGTTTTAAAGGTTTGCTTTTTATACTTTGATCTTTACCTAGAATTAATTTTATATATGGGATGAACTTGATCTAATATTTGTTTGTATTCACCATATAAATAATCAGTTGCCCTACCATCTTTTATAGGATCTTTTATAGGATAGTCTGTCCTTTCCCTACTGATCTGTAATACTACTTCTATAGTCCCGTAACATGAGTCTCTTCTAAGCTCTTTATTTTATTAATTTATGTTTACTCTGGTGCTAATAGCAACATGCCATCCAATATATATTGCTTTAAAATAAATCTTTTCTTGGGGCGCCTGGGTGGCTCAGTTGGTTGAGCTTCTGACTTTGGCTCAGGTCATGACCTCATGGTTTGTGAGTTTGGGCCCTGTGTTGGACTCTGTGCTGACAGCCCAGAGCCTGGAGCCTGCTTTGGGTTCTGTGTCTCATTCTCTCTCTGCCCCTCCCCCACTGTATTCAGTCTCTCAAAAATAAATAACTGTAAAAAATTTTTTTAATAAATCTTTTCTTTTAATTTGTTGAGAGAGAGAGAGAGAGAGAGAGAGCGCACACGCGCACATTTGGGGAAGGGGCAGAGAGAGAGAGAGAGAGAGGGAAAGAGAAAGTTCCAAGCAGGCTCCGCCCTGTCAGTGTGGAGCCCAAAGTAGGGCTTGAACCTGTGAACTGTGAGATCGTGTCCTGAGCAAAAATCAAGAGTTGGATGCTCAATGGAGTGAGCCACCCAGGTACCCCTAAAATAAGTCTTGATATCTGTTTAGACAGGTTTTGCCTTTTTGTGCTTTATTTTATTTGTTGTATTCTTAGATCTTCACTCTTATTTTTTAAACGATTGAAGTTTAATTGACAGTGTTACATTAGTTTCAAGTGTGGACATTTACTCTTAATGTGAATAGTTACATTTGTCGAGTTTCCTAAAAAAAAGCACTTGTAGTTTCAAAATAAATTGTATTGAATTTATAATTAATTTGAGGGAATTAACATATTTATGATAGAATTTTCACTTATGAAAATATTTTTATTCTTGTATTTATTCATATTTTCTTTTATGAACTGGTTTTATAACCTCCATAAAGCTTTTGCATATTATCTGTTAGACTTACTCTTAAGTACCTTCTAGTTTTTGTTGGTTCTTTGAATGGATCTTTTTATATTACATCTTCTCCTTGGTTATTGGTGGTGTGTAGCAATGTTGTTGAATTTTATTGTTGTTGATCAAATTCATTGTGTGGACTTTACTGAGATCATAGCTCAAAAACAATTGCTAAAGACTATGACATTTATGAGATTCTTGTAAATTTGAACATTGATTAATGATATTAAGGGATCATTGTTAATTTTTGTAGGTCTGGAAATGATACAGCTATGTTTTTAAAAAGTCCTCATTTTTTAGAGATTATATACTAACATATTTGTGAATAAAATGATGTGTTGTCTGGGACTTGCTGCAAAGGAATATGAAGTGAGGAAAAGATGGAGGATAGGAGAAGCAAAAGTGGCAGTGAGTGATGGGTATGTGAGGGTTTACTGCTGTTGAGTTTTATGTGCTGATCTTGTATCTAGAAACCTTGCTGCATTTTCATAATTGTCCTATTAGTTCTTTTAAATTCTATTATTATTTTTAAAAAAATATTTATTTTGAGAGAGAGAGAATACCAAGCAGGTTCTGCAGTCAGTGCTGAGTCTGACATGGGGCTTGATCTCAGGAACCATGAGATCATGACCTGAGCTGAAATCAAGAATCAGATGCTTAACCAACTTGGCCACCAAGGCGCCCTTTGACCATATGCATTTTGTCTCTTCAGTCTATTAGTATGGTGTATGACATTAGTAGAGTTTCTAAGCTTGAACAATTCTTTTTTCTTTCCTTCCAAAATTTTATTTAAATTCAAGATAGTTAACATATAGTGTAGTATTGGTTTTAGGAGTAGAATTTAGTGATTCATCACTTACATATAACACCCAGTGCTCATTACAAGTGTCCTCCTTAATGTTCATCCCACTTAGCCCATTCCCCCACCCACCTCCCCTCCAGCAATCCTCAGTTTGTTTTCTATAATTGAGAGTCTGTTAGGTTTATCTTCTCCGTTTTTACCTTACTTTATTTTTCCTTACTTTCCCCTATGTTCACCCATTTTATTTCTTAAATTCCCACATATGAGTGAAATCATATATTTATCTTTCTCTGATTTATTTTGCTTAGTATAATATACTCTAGTTCCATCCATGTTGTTGCAAATGGCAAAACTTCATTCTTTTTGATGGCTGAGTAATATGCCACTAGATACATACGTGTTTATGTATACTTAATATATTAATGTATAGTTATGTACATATATATTTGTGTATAATATATGTCATCTTCAATATCCATTCATCAGTTGATGGGCATTTGGGTTCTTTCCATAATTTGGCTATTGTTGACTAGTGTAATGTTGAACAATTCTTGCTTGCATTCCTGGATAAATCCTATTAGGTGATTTATATAATAAATTATGGATTCACTTTGCTAATATTTTCTTTGAGATTTTCATATCCATGTTCACTAGTACTTTTGGTTTTGATCTTTTCTTACCCTATCCTTGTCTAGTTTTAGTGTCTTATTATAGAAATCTTAGAAAATGAGATAGTTTTTTCTTTATTTCCTCTGGAAGAGTCTCTTGAAGCTCTGCTAAATCGAATACCCTTGTTTGTAAAAATAAAAAACAATTTTTTTTGGAGAGAGAAAGAGTGGGCAAGTCTGTAGGGGAGGGGCAGAGGGAGAGAGAGAGAATCTTAAGTGGGTTCCATGGTCAGCATGCAGCTTGATCTCATGACCTTGAGATTATGACCTGAGCCAAAATCAAGAGTCACATACTTAACCAACTGAGCCTTACATGTGCCCTTGAAAGTTTTAGACTCCCAAATCAAATACTTTCATAGTTATTATTTTGCTATGTTCTTTCTTGAGTCAGTTATCTTGATTTTATTTATGCTTATGTCATATTTTTCAAGTATGTTAGCAATAGAACACTATTTATATAATAGTAAGTAACATAGGAAAAAGTTACCTGTAAATCTATCCATGTAGCTACTTAGTCTTTTCTGTAATGGCTTATATATAAAATAGATAAGACCATGGTGTGCCTGGCTGGCTTAGTTGGTAGAACATATGACTCTTGATCTCATGGTCATGAATTTGGGTCCCATGTTGAGTATAATGATTACTTAAAAAAATTTCTGTTAAAATAGGCATGATCAGTGTGTACATAAGACTTCTGTACTTTTACGGTTTTAGTCATCATGCTAGCATAATATAATGGATACTTGTTCTCTTCAGTGGGTAAACAATATTTCAGATTGTTATTCTACCTTTGTAGAACTTTTTGCTTCCAGTTTTTTTCACAGTTCCACAGAAAGTGTTATTGCCTTTAGAACAAAATAAGATACTTTCAGAACTTTTGTTAATGAAGAAAAACTTAGAAGTTAAAAAGTTTTCTAAAATATTATTTGGCGGCTGATGAAGTAGGCACTTGAGCTTAGAAAACTTACCACCTGCAACTGTGTGTGTGTGGAGCCTGAGCTGTCTGATTAGATACAGCTAACAGTTTATAATTGGGGTGGGGGTGCCGGCACCTGGGTGGCTCAGTCGGTTGAGCGTCTGACTTTGGCTCAGGTCATGATCTCACAGTTCATGGGTTTGAGCCCTGCGTCTGGCTCTGTGCTGACAGCTCAGAGCCTGGAGCCTGTCTTTGGATTCCGCGTCTCCCTCTTTCTCTGACCATCTCCTGCTCACGCTATGTCTCTCTCTCTCTGTCTCTCTCAAAAATAAATAAAACATTAAAAAAATTAAAAAAAAAAGAGAAGTGGGGCTCCCACTTGTGGCCAGAGTACCGACCATCAAGTGTGACCTCCTTGGCCTTGACGCCAGCAGTGCTCTTTCTCCAGCACAGCTCTTTCTCCACTCACAGCTTTTCTTCACCACCCCCCTGCCTCATAGTCCTGTATAGGACCCTGTTGAGGTCTGTTTGTTAGGTGTTACTTATGGGGCAGGCAGGGAGCCAGGCCATTTTGGAGCAACAGAGGCCAGGGTCAGCTTCTGAGAGCCTGGCATTATCCAAGGGGAGCCAGAGGCCTCACTGCCAGTACTGCCACTTCAGACCCTCGTCTGGCTGTGGGGCCACCATGCCTGGTATAGAGCAGGTGGGGGGCTCCCAGCAACTACAGATGTCTGAGGCAGATGTCTGAGGCAGAAAAGCAAGGCTGCTAGCTCATGGCAGCCCCAACAATGATCCTCAAGGGCCGATCTTGGCCTCCAACACTGGTGGAGGAGAAAAGGGACCATCCATTGCCCCATAGGAGAGAGGCCTCCAATTTTTTTTTTTTTTTTTTTTTTTTTACTTATTTACTCACTTATGTGCTAATTTAGCAAACTATGTTAGGCGGTGAATAGAATGCTGTCCTGCCTATTTTTGTTCTAGTTAGGGGAACAGGATCTTGTCGGGGGGATAAAGGGAACTTCTTGTGGCTAAAGTGGTCAGGTTTTAGAGTGGAATGTGAATGAGGCTAAGGGAAGGAATGTGCATAGGACCAGGAGAGGATGAGCTATGCTCTGCCTGGGGAGTTGGGAGAGGCTTCTCAGAAAAGGCAAAACAGGAGCCATAAATAAAGCTGTAGTTAACATTTGGGCAAAAGCAGAGTTTTTTCAGAGGGTTAGGGTATCAGTACCATAGGATCAGTTCTAAGGTTTGGATGGCTAGGCGCAGGTGACTATACTGAGAAATCCAGTTGTCCTTGAGTCACATTCAGATAAGTTTGCTACCTTGAATGCCTTTTGCAAACAAGTCTATCAAATCAACAGCCCAGCCTGTGAATTTAGAGTTGTAAGCATTTCTACAAATACTCTTAAGCCCTTATATGGTCTACTGACGAATGATTATAATCGAAGGTGAAGAGTTCTGGATTAGAGTCTCATATACTCTTTTATTTGGTAAAATTACTTTACCTCTCCTAGTCTCAGTTTCCATGTAGGCAAAATGGGGAATTATAATTGGATTATGTAGATCAGATAGGATTATTCCTGTGGAAGCATTCTGTACTCATTACCAGGAAAATACAGCTACTAGTCATGTCTACTGTAAACATAAAAACATTATGGCCAGCTTATAAGAAGTTTAGGACCAAAAGTCTATAAAGTTAACATTTATAGTCCTGCATTCACTTACTTCATGGATTATCTAGCTTAATTTTCCAATTAATAATACCATGAGATATGGGTGCTATTATGCCTCATTTTATAACATTTTTTTAAAATGTTTTTATTTATTTCTAGGAGAGAGAGAGAGAGACAGCGTGAGCAGGGGAGGGTCAGAGAGAGAGGGAGTCACAGACTGAAACAGGCTCCAGGCTCTGAGCTGGCAGTCAGCACAGAGCCCGACGCGGGGCTCGAACCCACGAACCGCGAGATCATGACCTAAGCGAAAGTCGGACGCTGAACTGACTAAGCCACCCAGGCGCCCCTTATTTGCCTCATTTTAAAAGTAAGACAGAGGAGACTCAGAGAGATGAAGTTATTTGCTTAAGGTCACACAGGGAAGGACTGGGATTTGAACCTCAATAGACTGAGTTCATAGCTTCTCTGAAATAACCCAAATTTTCCAGAGTGTTTAATACTTCTGACTCCTAAATTGTGTTTGTTTGCTTATTTATTTATTCTCCTGATGCCTAAATTAAAAAAAAATTCTGATAATGTTCATCTGAATTCCTAATGCAGATGACTGACATTTATTTGACTCGGAATGTTTTGAGAAATAATGGAGCAGGGGCGCTTGGGTAGCTCAGCTGGTTAAAATGTCTAACTCTTGATTTCTGCTCAGGTCATGATCTCATGGTTCCTGAGATTGAACCCGGAGTCTGGCTCAGTGCTGACTGTGCAGAGCCTACTTGGGATTCTCTCTACCCCCTGCCCCCGTACCTCCCCCACTCACATTGTATCTCTTTCTCTCAAAATAAATAAATAAACCTTAAAAAAAATTAAGGAGAATTTGTGGTTCTTGGCTGGCTGGCTTAGTTGGTAGAGCATGCAACTCTTCTTCATCTTGGGTTGTGAATTTGAACCCCATGTTGGGGGTAGAACTCTACATGTTGGGTGTAGAGATTACTTAAAAAGAAATAAAGAGGCAATGGCTTAAAAAAATAATGGGGGATTTGTTTTATTATCTGTATTTATCATTATCATTATTTGTTATCTTTATTAAACATTTTTTAGTATTTAATTTTTTCTTAATGTATTATTTCTTTTTTTAAAAGTTTTATTTATTTTTTAATGTTTTATTTATTTGAGAGAGAGAGAGAGAGAGAGACAGTGTGAGCAGGGGAGGGTCAGAGAGAGGGGGAGACAGAATCTGAAACAGGCTCCAGGCTCTGAGCTAGCTGTTAGCACAAGAGCCCGATGCAGGGCTTGAACCCACGAACCGTGAGATCATGACCGGAGCCGAAGTCAGACGCTTAACCGACTGAGGCACCCAGGCGCCCCTGTTTTATTTACTTCTGAGAGAGAGAGAGAGAAGGAGAGAGAGACAGTGTGAACAGGGAAGGATCAGAGAGAGAGAGAGGGAGATACAGAATCTGAAGCAGGCCCCAGGCTTTGAGCTGGCCGTTAGCACAGAGCCTGATGTGGGGCTTGAACCCATGAACTGTGAGATCATGACCTGAGCCGAAGTCGGTCGGTTAACCGACTGAGCCACCCAAGCGCCCCAGTATTTATTTATTTTTGAGGGGCAGACCATGAGTAGGGGAAGGAAGACAGAGAGGGAGATACAGAATCTGAAGCAGGCTCCAGGCTCTGAGCTGTTTGTTAGCAGAGCCTGACACGGGGCTTGAACTAATGAACTGTGGGACCATGACCTGAGTTGAAGTTGGATGCTCCACTGACTGAGTCACCCAGGCGCTCTGATTATTTATTATTTATTATCTTTAGAAGTGGTGTTTTCACTGTGATAAATGATTTGTTTATATTACAATAAGTAGTATATCTGCAGGATAGAGCCACATATTGAGTGTGTGTGCTTTTAGATAAGATGTGGTAATGGGGATTAGGGTCTAGCTCTTCATCACTACTTCCTTTTGATTTTTAACTTTTGAATTCTTAGATTTTTCTTAATTTTGAAGAGCTTAAAGTAAATGAGTGTCAGCTTTTTTTATTAGGAAAATTTTTAAGCATAATGAAAAATGGAAAGAACAGTGAGATAAGCACTGTACTTTCCACTTGTATTTACTAATTGTTAACATGTACCCAATTTGATTCATATGCTTTTTATAATATAATTAATCATAATTAGCAGTAATTCCATAGTATTTAGTTTCTAGACCATATTCAGGTTTTTCTGTTGTCCCAAGAATGTCATTTTTCTAGGTTTCTTATTTTATTTTATTTTATTTTATTTTTTAAATTTTTTTAATGTTTTTTTATTTATTTCTAGGAGAGAGAGAGAGAGACAGCGTGAGCAGGGCAGGGTCAGAGAGAGAGGGAGTCACAGACTGAAACAGGCTCCAGGCTCTGAGCTGGCAGTCAGCACAGAGCCCGACGCGGGGCTCGAACCCACGAACTGTGAGATCATGGAAGGTCGGACGCTTAACCGACTAAGCCACCCAGGCGCCCCTAGGTTTCTTTTTTTAATTTAGAAGAGAGCATGAGTGGGGGCAGAGGGTAGTGGGGGGGAGAGAGCGATTCCCAAGCAGGCTCTACTCTCAGTTCAGAGCCTGATGCAGGGCTCAATCCCACAACCCTGAAATCACGACCTGAGCTGAAACCAAGAGTTGGATGCTCAACTGACTGAGCCACCCAGATGCCAAGAATGTCATTTTTAAAAATCAAAGTTCACTAAATCAAGATTGACACTTTACATTTTTTTACACCTTTTTAAAAAAGTTTATTTTGAGAGAGAGGGAGAGAGAGCGAGAGAGAGAGAGAGAGAGGTGGGGAAAAGCAGAGAGAGAGAGAGAGCAAGGGAGAATCCCAAGCAGGATCTGAATTGTCAGTGCAGAGCCTGACGCAGGGCTTGATCTCACAAACTGTGAGATCATGACCTGAGTTGAAATCAAGAGTCAGACGTTTAAACGACTGAGCCATCCAGGTGCCCCATTTTTTTTTTTAAAGATTTTATTTTTAAGTAAAGATTTTATTTTTAAGTATTTTTAAGTACACCCAATGTGGGGCTCAAACTTAACAATCCTGAGATCAAGAGTTGCATGCTCTTCCAACTGAGCTAGCCAGGCGCCCCTACATTTTTGTTTTTATGTCTTTTTAGTTGCTTTTATTCCATAATAATCCTTCACCCCTTTCCTAATCTCTCCTCCATCGTAGCATTATTTATTTAGTTTTAAGAGTTCTGAACAGTTTTGTAGAATATTCCATATGTGGGGTTGGTCATATTGTTTTCTCATGGTGAATTCAGCTTGTTTCTTGTATTTTCTTATATTTCTTGTAAACTGGAAGTTAGATCTAGACAAAAGAGTAAACATTTTTTTGCAGGGTGTTTCAATGGTCATAATATGTGTCTCATCATTAAAAATCATTATTCTACCTCTGTCATTCCCTTTATGTTTTGTGTTTTATTAGTTGACATTCTCCTGCAAGATTAGAATTTTTCTTTTTCATTATTAAGGATCCCCAAGACTCAGATTATTTAGTGTGGTGTTGTAGTCTGTTATATTCATTATTCTCTTTGGTGCTAAAATTATCCCAGATTTAGCCAGTGGGAGGCCTTTTAAACTGGGTTCTTTGTGCTTTTGACACACTCCTATTAGTCTTTGAGTATTTTCTTATTTTATGGCACTGCTAGAAGCCCCAGATTTGTCTTGCACATGCCTGATCCAGACCCTGGACTCTGCCATTTCTCCAAGGAGGCCTAATTCCTTTTAGTTGGAAGTAGTATTTAGAAATTACGCTCTGGAGGGGCGCCTGGGTGGCTTAGTCGGTTGAGCGTCCGACTTTCGCTTAGGTCATGATCTCGCGGTTCGTGGGTTCGAGCCCCGTGTCGGGCTCTGTGCTGACTGCCAGCTCAGAGCCTGGAGCCTGTTTCAGTCTGTGACTCCCTCTCTCTCTGACGCTCCCCTGCTCACGCTGTCTCTCTCTCTCTCTCCTAGAAATAAATAAAACATTAAAAAAAAATAATAATAAAAAATAAATTAAAAAAAAAAAAAGAAATTACGCTCTGGACACTGGGTCTGTTTATTGCTGCTACAGTATTATTGCTTTTAGGCCTTTTCAGTGGATAGAGCTAAGAAATAAAATTAAAAAAAAATTGTGAGTTCATTTTGGTAGTTCCAGTTTACATTTAATATTTGGTAATTTATATTTTGATTTTT